CCGGCGCGGCGAGCAGCAACCATGTCGGTCTTGGGGAAGCTGTTCGGGGCTGGAGGGGGTAAGGGGAGCAAGGGCGGCCCGACCCCCCAGGAGGCCATCCAGCGGCTTCGGGACACGGAGGAGATGCTAAGCAAGAAGCAGGAGTTCCTGGAGAAGAAGATCGAACAGGAACTGACGGCTGCCAAGAAGCACGGCACCAAAAACAAGCGCGGTGAGGCGGCCCCGACCCCATCAGACTCTCCACCGTCTCTCTTGAGGCTCCCCAGGCCCGGACTCCACTTTGTCTGACTCGTTTCTGGGGCGGGGGTGGTCTCCTTCAACCCTGGAACTCTTCGGCTAGACTGCTTTCGGTGCCTCTCCCGGCCAGTAACCTCTTTCCACCAGACTCCTGTGTCTCCTTGAGCCAGCTCTCTTTCCCTATCAGGCTCCCTTCAAACTCTTCCCTACCGTATCAGGCCTCTCCTGACCCAGATCTCACAGCACATTAACTCCGTGCTCAGTCTGTTTCACTGTCTTACTGTGTTCTTCTCTCTCCGGCCTCACCCACCTTACCAGCCTCTACTTCCACCTTGGCTCATTTCGTTTCCACACCCTATTATACATAAGTGTCTCGGTCCACCTCTGCCCTCCTCCGAGCCATGGAGTCTGGTCTGGAGTCTGAGCTGCCTTTGGCCTCTGACTCAGGAGCCTTCCTGAAAAACCTCCTTTATGGAGAGAAAAGAGGATTGGGGAGTGAGGAGACCCTCTGGTACCCACTCTGTTCACTTGTTGAGTGAAACTGGACAAGTTTGAGACCTCAGTTTCCGCACCCACTAGGTAGGATCTGGCCTCTGTGAGGCCCAAGATATCGCTAGCCCTGTGGTTCTCTTTTGCTTTCCTCATACCCAGGCCATTTCAGAGCTTCCGTATCGTAAGCCTGACCCATGTGACTCACCACTACTTTTCTGCCCCTCCTGAACCAGAAAGAAGGCGGACTCTGCCTCAATTGGCCTAGTTCAGCCCTGTTGTGATTGATACTTACTTCCTGTTGTGAGCCTGTCTAGGAAAGTGCCTTGTGGTTCTCTCACGGAAATGAATGTGAGAACGCTTTAGTGACTGTAAAGAATGTCAAAACGCTCTGCTTTTTTCTTTGGGGGAGGGTGTTTCAAGATAGGGTTTCTCTGCCTAACAGTCCTGGCCGTTCTGACACTCACTTTGTGGATCAGGCTAGTCTCAAGTCTCAAACTCACCTAGGTCCACCTGCCAGAGCGCTGGTTAAAAAGAGGCATGCGCCACCACTGCCAGGCAGATGCTCTGTTTTTGTTTTTTTTTTTTTTTTTTTTTTGTCACAGCAGTATGAGCATGAATCATAGCGTGGTGGTTCTTCCTTTGAAGGTGGGCCAAAGATGAGAAGGGTTTAGGAGTAGTATAAACAAGTATTTAACCCAAAAAGTTCCCAGGGAAGTTTGTTCTGGGATTGGGAACTAGTGGGTTTGCCCTTCTGGGAGGATTTCTAATACCTAGCACACAGTAGGGGCTTAACTAACATTGTGAACATCTGCTTGATATTTTCTCATGATATGATGGTCTGTCCTGAGGATGCTCCTCACTGATAGCAACCATTCTGGAACTTCTGAGCACCCAGGGCATCCAGTCAAATTCATAGAGGGAAACAAAAGAGCCCCCACTTCAAAGAGAGAGACTGGTGGTGCACGTCCCTGTAGGTCTGGAACCCAGCATCTGGGAGGCAGAGGCAGGAGGGTCAAGGTTGTCCTTGTTTACGGAGAAGTTTGATGACCAACCTGGCCACCCAGAGAGACCCTATCTCTAAAAGAGATAGCTAGGTTAGGCAAGACGCTAAGGGAGGAAAGTAACCTTTTTGGAGATGTCAGTGGTGAGCGTTCAACAAGAAAAAGTTGGTTCACGGTGAGTGGGAAGGGTGCTGTTTGGGTAGGATGGTCTTTGGAAAGTTATAGTTGGAACTGAGTCTTTTTGAAGGAACCACCTTTGGGGGACTTTTTTTCTGACTGGGAGGACAGCAGAGGGATGGCTGGAAAGTTGGCAAGATTTAAGAAATTAAAAGATCTCCTTCTCTGGAATGTAGTGATTGAGGGGAGACTGGAGTAAATAAAAGGAGGGGGATGGGCCTTGAATGGCTGGCATAGTTTAGATTCTAAGTGGATGGAAAACTTTTGAAGGGTGTTATTCTGAAGCAAGTCCTAATCATTGGTAAGAGTGTTAAGCATCTGGCTGCTCTCTAGAATGTGGCGGGGTGCAGTCCATCTGTGGACTGGACACCAGTCGTAGCTGTGGAGATGGAGAGCAGGGCTGTGTTCCGTAATCAGCTCTTTTCTCTGACAACTCTCCCTTAATCAGGGTCCTCTTTCCCCGGCGGTAATTAGTTCTGGTTTTTGCCAGTCTGCACGTTTGAAAGCTGGCCTCTGTACAGTGGAGTGGAGGAGGGTGTCCCTGTACATCCTCCCCATCCCACAGGACGCAGAGCACAGCGGCTGCCATATGGTAAGAGATGAATAGCTCAGAGCTCCTGGTCGAGGGCTAGCTTAGGTTCTGCAGTTGTAGAGGTGACTGAATTGGCTCTCAAGATGCTTGTAGAGAGAAAGCAGACAAGTGGAAAAGCGATCCCAGCCGTAATAACTTTGTTCAAAGTGGTGTCTGTCTCTTTGAGTTTGTCTGTGAGGGTACAGGCTTCTCTTCTTTTTATTGTTCTAGGGTCTCATAGTTGTGTGTTCTTGTCCTAGGACCTAACCCACTTCCTCAGATGCTGCTGTGGTTTTACCACCACCACATATGTGCCATTTATTTACTGACCGAGGACTGTGTTTGGACTCTGTGAGAAAACACTTCCTGTCTTCCTGAGAGAATTCAGGATTGGAAATGTGGGGCTGGGCAGGGCCAGGAGTAATTCTAGAAGTCAGTGGTGAAGTGTGTTTAAATGATTGAGGTTATGGGAGGTAGGGGGAGGTTCTTGTCTGGAGGGAGGGAAGGGAGGAGGCTTGTGGAGGAAGGAGAATGAGGTGGGTCATCAAGGGTTTAGTGTGTTTAGGAGCAGCAAGAATGCCTCCCAGCAGGAGTCTGAGACAGGACACTATAGCATAAATTCAAATTGTTCTTAATAATAAAAATCCAGAGTCAGATATAGGGGTTGATGCTGAAAGATCAGAGAAGCGGAGTGGCCAGCCACTAGTTCTTACCTCTACCAGTGCTCAGACTAAAGGGGCGATCCTGTCTTTATGACTCCTCAGACTGCATGCTTAGATTGAGTGCCTCAGACTGCATTGAACTCCTGTCTCCTCCTGCTTTATATTCTTCTCTCTGCCCAGCCATATCTCTTTCTGTCTCCACCTCCCTAGTGCTGGGATTAAAGGTGTGTGACTCCCAAGTGCTGGGATTAAAGGTGTGAGCCACCACCACCTGGCTCTGTTTCTCTTTTAGACTGGATTGATCGTCTTCTTCTGTCTCTTGAGTGCTGGAATTAAAGGTGTGTGCCACCACTTCCTGGCCTCTATGGCTAACTAGTGGCTCGCCTCTGCACTCTGATCTCCAGGCAAGCTTTATTTGTTAGAGTAGAAACAAAATGTCACTACAGGATATGCTGTATGTAACCTTGGAGAGTGGTTTCCAGCCTTTGGACCTTGCCCTGGATATGCAGAGGAGCCATTGGTGCTTCTTTATAGTAGAAGATCTTATCCATTTGGGTTTTGAAAGAACATTTTGAGCAGCAGCATAAACAGAGTTATGTAAACTGACCAGGGAGGAACTGAGGCAGGACAAGGTATAAGATTAGGAGGCAGAGGCAGGGTGGTCTCTGTAAGTTCGAAGCCAGTCTGGTGTACATATCTAGTTCCAGGATAACTAGGGCTACACAGAGAAACCCTGTCTCGAAAAAAACAAAACAAAAACAACAAAAAAAAGGGGGTGTTGGTAAAAGAAGGGAAGAACAGGAAGGAACAAGAGGAGAGACTGAGACATACGATCATCTTTCTTGGAGAACTAACAGAGTGCTACCTACGCAGGTGCCCAGGAAGTTTGGGAGGTTCTTGTTGGTAGGCCTCGACTTGAGGCTGGTTTCTGTTATAAACCATATAAATCTGATCAGTGGTAACTATCAGATAAGTGCCTTTTATCCTGTTCTTTCACACATCTTAGGTGATCCTCACCTCAGCAAGGTAGGAATATTTCACAAGTGAAGATAAACTTAGGTCTCCTGGATGGCAGGGTCTGTGTCCTGGTCAGGTCTGTATTCTTAGCACTGAACAGGGGGACTAGGACCAGAGAACATGAGAATGAATATATGACCAAAGGAAGGGAAAAGGAATTGGAAAGAACATGTGACCCAAATTTTGTTCTTATCTGTGGAGCCACTGCCTGGGATGCAGTGCAAATAATGTAGCCCAGGCTACACTTGAACCTTTGATTCTTTGCCTCAGCCTCCTGAGTGCAGGGATTCCGAGTTACAGGTGCGTATCATCACATCTTTATTTTTTTAGTGTCTCTTTGTGTAGAACAGTTTGATGGAGTTGGTTCTC